AGACTCGCGGCGCTGAGGAAACCGGTCCTGAGATAGATAATAACGTCGAGGCCGAGGGGACGGCGCTGATGTGAGGACAACGGCGATGAGGAGCCGGTCCTATAATGAGGGACGGCGCTGGGCGCTCGTCTGAGAAATGATGGACGACGCTGGGCGCTCGTCTGAGATGATGGACGGCGCTGGGCGCTCGTCTGAGATGATGGACGGCGCTGGGCGCTCGTCTGAAAATGAGGGACGGTGCTGGGCGCTCGTCTAAAAAATGAAGGACGGCGCTGGGCGCTCGTCTAAGAATGAAGGACGACGCTGGGCGCTCGTCTAAGATGAGGGGCGGCGCTGGGCGCTCGTCTAAGATGATGGACGGCGCTGGGCGCTCGTCTGAGATGATGGACGGCGTTGGGCGCTCGTCTGAGATGATGGACGGCGCTGGGCGCTCGTCTGAAAATGAGGGACGGCGCTGGGCGCTCGTCTGAAAATGATGGACGGCGCTGTGTGCTCGTCTAAAAATGAAGGACGGCGCTGGGTGCTCGTCTAAGATGAGGGGCGGCGCTGGGCGCTCGTCTAAAGATGAAGGACGGCGCTGGGCGCTCGTCTAAGGATGAAGGACGGCGCTGGGCGCTCGTCTAAGGATAAAGGACGGCGCTGGGCGCTCGTCTGAAAATGAGGGACGGCGCTGGGCGCTCGTCTACAAATGAAGGACGGCGCTGGGCGCTCGTCTAAGGATGAAGGACGGCGCTGGGCGCTCGTCTGAAAATGAGGGACGGCGCTGGGTGCTCGTTTGAAAATGATGGACGGCGCTGGGCGCTCGTCTAAAAAATGAGGGACGACGCTGGGCGCTCGTCTAAGAATGAAGGACGGCGCTGGGCGCTCGTCTGAAAATGAGGGACGGCGCTGGGCGCTCGTCTACAAATGGAGGACGGCGCTGGGCGCTCGTCTAAGATGAGGGACGGCGCTGGGCGCTCGTCTAATCCGCATGTATGGTCTTGCTTCGTCCATAATGTGTAGTATTTGTCTGATATGTACTTAGTATTGTTGTGGGGATTTCCTTTTTTGTTGCTCGAGGCCGGCGAGTGCGCGCGGTCCTCGGCTTTCCTCTTTTTTTTTCTTTTTCCTTTTCTTTTCTCTTTTTTTTTTATTTCCGTTTCCGTTCCCTATTTCGGGGAGTATCCTTCTTTCAGGCTTCGGCCGAAGGGTGTGCTCGTCCTTCGGCCGGTTCGGACTTCGTTTATAACGTCCGTGATCTCAGGGGGGTCCCGTCGCCTATTTATGACGCGGGCTAGACTTTTGGTTGGTTTCCAACGGCTGCCGTTGCCCAACCCTGAGTGGGGGGATTCTGCCACCTCAGCCATGATTTCAGGCCTGTCGTCCTGCGATCTGGCGTGTGGACGACGCGGTGAACTTCTCATTTCAAGACGCGGGCCGTTTGCGGGCTCCTCGTCCTGGGGACATCGTCGGCCATACCTGAGCGTTTCACTCTAGGCTTACGGGGCCGGGACGATGTGCTCTCTCAGCTAGGCCTGAGCCCTTCGCTGATACAAAATACAAAGTGGAGCAGACCTGAGCCTTTCGCTCGAAGGCTGCTGATACGACACGTGGTATCTTCTATTTACATTTCCAAAAAATAAGCGGAATACAATAGGTGCGTTGTTCATGGCAACGGCTTTTGGGCACGCGATTAGCGTCTCGGAGAACGATGTGTACCGTTTACCGCTCTCGGGCATAATGCCATGTGCGGCCGGTAGCGGCTCTCATTTTTAGATGCCCGAGTCACCAAATAAAGGTGACTAGGGTAGGTCGAGGGACCCAAATATAAATCAAATCATCAAATAGAGATGGTCGGTAGACTAGAGCTCGGGTCCACCACTTTGGGGTTTTTTGACCCGCTCTAATGGCGATGATAAAAATAATAATGCCAATAATAATGCATCATTAGCGACCTCGGGAAATTTTAATCCCTCATAATGGTCTTCACCACCTCGGGGGTTTTTAACCCGCCATAATGGTGGTGAAAATAATATAATTAATAATAGTAATAATTATACTACTATCATTTAATAAATATTTTAAGTGTATAAATAGGAGTATTGGGCACTTACCTCTTATTTGGGCCGTTTGAGATAATGGGCCTATGTAGGGATTGCATCTTTGATTCCTTACTGGACAAGCCCACCAATTAACTTGACCAACTTGACCTAGGTGGGATTAAAAACCTGCGGCTCTTACACAGTAGCTCACCGCTACTGTAGCAGTGGGAGCAGTAATGGAGAGGCCCTCTCAGGTAGCCAGCGGCGAAGCTCCCTCGGGGTGAGCCAGGCGAAGCTTTCCCAGCGGAGGAAGAGTTGCGACTTCAGGCAGCGGTCATCCGGAAGATCCCCATGAGGAAGGAGGGCGGCACTGTGGCGGAGAGAACTTAGATTCGGTCATCGTCATTCTCCAGAGCTTTGAGGTGGCCATTAATGGTGGACCTCCGAGGTCGAGCTCCAAAAAGAGAAGAAAATGACTTAGAAAGTTTGAAATCGTGGCTTAGGCTCCCCTCGAGCTACGATGGTGGCCGGAGCGGTGGTGGAGCGGCCAGGAGTTGGGCGTCGTCGCGAGCGAGATGGCGAATCCCATATTGGGCTCCCGTACTTCGCCGCTGGCCGTCGAAGGCTGGGTTGGTGCGGTCCTGGGCGTAAAACAGCCGGTCAGCAGGGGAATTCCGGTATGTTTATTACTGGAGCTCTTAGGGGGCATTAATGGCAGATATGAAGGTCCATTCTCCAGTCCGGTTCAGGTCCGACCACTGAGTCGCGAAGACGACCAGTTGCGACGCCAATGGGTGCTATGTGCAGTGAGCTGCAGCGGGTGGCGCGCGACAGCTTGGGCTTAGGCCTGGGAACTGGTGGGGAGCTTCTCCGGCCATGGCGGGTGGCGGCAACGGGAACGGCGAGGACGTCTCCTGCTTAGCCCTGGGAAATCTCCCAGACCCCAAATTCCAGTTTCTTCATTCCTTTTTTATTTTTCAGAACAGTTTTTGGTTGATTTTTTGTATTTTGGATGAATTCTATGATGTTTTGGGAGGATTTCTCACTTGATTTTGCTCTAATCTCTCAATGAAAGCACCATTGATGGATTATAGGTATCCAAGTATATTAAAATGGAGAGATTGAGCTAGATAATTGGAGAAGATGAATAGTGGAAATGATATTGTGTATGAATTATGAGTTAGGGTTACAAATGGCTCCAAGAGGAGTATAAATAGGGAAATAATGGGCCGGGCCGCTAATATGGGCCGGTAGCCCAACTACATAAAAGACTAATCTAGTACATAGTTACATACAAATGACATATAAGCAGTACAATAATACAAATGATATCTGTAAGATGTGTGTGGGCCGCTGTCCGGGCCCAATAGTCATGAGACCCGGGGGTCCGAGTCTATATACTCTATCAAATGTTTTCATTAAAACAGTTGGGGGCCTGCGTGCCCGTGTTTGCCACGTGTGGCTAAGTACCAAACATATTATTTCCGCATTTGTTTGATTATGATATTGATGTTGATTGTATGTGTTTACTAATCGGTTTGGCAATAGAATCAATCGGACGCCTTGTACAAATCAATAGGGATGATCTGTTGATGTCCTTATCGGGTTGTACGGCGGTTGTCTACGTGGCTCGGATGCGGTCCGGGGCGTGACAGACATACTCATAAATTTTCAGAAATAAATTCAAATCATAGCTCAAACCCTAATATCGAGACAGGAGAGAGTGGTGTGGTTTTTAAGAAAAGTAGAGTTATGTGGTTAATAATGAGTTGATAAAGTGGGAATAAAGTAAGAATGAATTAGAGTCACACAAATGTTATCAAATATGGTATGTGACAATAATAGAGGGACTAACAAAAATGAAAAAAATGGGACAATTATAGGGGGACGGAGAGAGTACATAATAGGGACAAAATAATAATTTTGGTTGACATCGGTACTTATCTCAATGCTAGCAACAAAATCTACACGTGAATCCTAGCTCGAGTGATCACACACACTTTGTTATGAGAACCGGGCCGATGAAAACTCATGGAACCTAGTAGTTTAACCAAAGCCGGATATTACTCCATTAAAAATTTGACCACCAAGGGGTTTCGAACTGCACACATTAGGGGTGAGAAAGAATACCAAACCGGCATGGTACCGAACCAAAAGACAGAATTTGAAACGGATCTCAAATTTTTTGTTTCGAACCGGATCGTACCGGATCCAAACCAGGTCATGATCGGTTCTCATAAAATGAAAACTAGTACCGAACAGAAGTATGATTTGAACGTACATGTAATTTATGTTTTGTACATCTCAAATTAACTAAACATAAACGTACATCTCAAATTAATGTTTTGTGATTTATGTTTAGTAATACTATAGTTTATCTGAAATTTATCAATTATGTAATACGAAAATTGATAAATTGTGTGGATTTTTGGAGGATGATTAAACTTTAATTTCCCCTTAAATAATTGAAAAAAGTGACATTGTTTGGTATTGGTATGACATGGTATCATCTCATTTTAAAAGGGAACCGTATCGAACGATTTAGGTCTAAGACTGAACCGAATCATTTCAATTCTTACGGTTTGGACCGTCTCGGACCATGTACACCCCTAGAATGCGTACTAAAGCTTTCACACATTGTACCATCTAGAACAATCGGCAATCGGCAATCGGCAATCGGCAATCGGCAATCGGCAATCGGCAAATGTGTAAATGTTTCTGTTTCACCTTCTTATACTATACACGCATAAGACTTCACATACGTATAAGGTATGTTCGGATACATATGGGGGTGGACTCGGTCCTGGTCTGGTCCCGGTTCTGGTCTCGGTTTCAGATATTGAAGACCAGAATCGACCTGGGTTTCTACGGACCCGGTTTTGGTCCCGGTCTGGTCCCGGTTCGATCCGGTCCTTAATTTTTTTTAATTATTGGAGAATAAATAAATGATGTATATTTATTTTAAACACTACATTGTCACTTGTATCAATATCAAATTTGAAAATTACAATTGAGAATACTCTAAAGTTGAAAATTACAATACTTGAACTAATCGTCGGAGCCACTTCCGACGTCTGTTGTCGTTTCCTCCATGAAATGGCGGTCTGGTGCTATGTTTACTTATTGTGTTCTATGGCGGGCCTTCAACCAATCATGGAAGCAAATGAGTGTCTCGAGAGATGAAGTGCTCAACCTCATTCTATAGTCAGTTAAAACGTTACCGGCTTCGCTAAACTCTTGTTCCACGACAACAGTTGAAACCAGCATCGACAACACTTGTTTGGCCATTTTTTATAAAACTGGAAACATCCCTTCGTGGGTCTTCCACCATTGAAGAATATCAAAGTCCTCCGCTTCATTAAACTCAACAGGAAACGTTAGATATAAAGAGAGCTCGTTAATCGAGCTTTGTGCAATGGCAGGAGTTGATTTAATTTTTATCAAAAGAGTAGATATTGTTGATTTAAAAAAACCTCTTCCTTTAGATGAGGAAGCACTCGGTAATGGGGGAGGGGGTGCATTACCATATTGTGCATGAAACTCATTAAATAAAGCGTGAAATAGATTACTAACCTAGTTGAATTGGACTTGAGGATCTATAGGAGTGTCTTCGTACATAGGGAATGGACCGTAGAAAGCAGTATAATAGTATTCTAAAAATGTTTTATAATTTAAAAGTTTGAAACGAGGATCAAGACAGAAGGCAATTGAATAAATAGGCGGAATGAAGGCATAATATTTTAAAAACTTTTCTTTCGGTATGTAATCACAAAAATAATTTACATAAGTAGCTTAAGAAAATTCTTGAAAAACATCGGCGAAATTAACAACTTCTATAAAAAATTGGTTGCTAGTTGGTTTATACACATGGGAAAAAGTTTGAGTAGCGTTGTTAGAATAACCTAAAACGTTGCAAATCTTTTCCATTGTATCGATCTCAACTGATTCTATAATATAATTACAAGCTTCTTCCATGAAAGTGGGAAATGATCTTTGAATCTAAGAAGCACAACAATTAAATTATAAGTAGTGTTCCAACAAATAGAAAGATCTTTAGGAAAAGCACAATACCTTACACCTTTCGACTTCAATTAAGCACATCATTGCATTTTCAGTGGATTTCTACCCCAAATTAATCTAATAGCCCCCTTAACTTTCTCCATCACATTTCCTAATGCGGCTGAGCCGTCTTTCAAACATAAATTAATAATATGACATGCACAACACTGATGAAAAAATCTATCCATCAGGGTAGACGGACCACATAATTCACGCAATATAGGTATAACAACAGTATTATTAGTTGCATTATCAAAGCCAATAGCAAACACCTTATCGATCAAACAATATTTAATTAAAATGCGTTCCATGAGAATATAGATATTATCACTGATGTGTCTTTCATTAAAATCTCGAAATGCGATAACATGTTTATGCATTTGCCAATCATCATCAATCCAATATGCAGTAACATCCAAATAATACAAGTGGTGATAAGTCTCTTCTCATATATCACTACAAACAGTGACACGCACATTAAAGATTGCAACAAATTGAATTAATTTTTCCTTTTCCAAAAGATATTGTTTAATAACTTGTTTTTTAATTGTTTTGCGGCTCTAGTTTCGAAATTGTGGGTTTAAAGAATCTTGAGCATATGCACGTAAAACAAGACTTTCAGAAAAAATATAAGGCAAAATTTCTTCAACAATTAACTAAGACTAAGCTTTTAAATGTACCTCATCATTGTAAGAGAAATTACCGAAGGGTTGATCATTTGCAAACCTCAATATTTGTGTTTGCGACCCCTTGCCCTTCAGTTTCGCCGCCTCCGTGGGGTGCCTCGAGTTTAAGTGCCTTTGCACCGTGCCGTATCCCCCCGAAGTACCCATGCACAATATTTGCGAACAATGTTGACAATGTGCGTAATACTTCCTGTCCTTCAGATCCTTTGTCTTCTTAAAATGATCTTGAGCAAAAAGAGGATATTTTAGTTTAGACTTACGTGTGTTGACCGCTTCAGATCCACCCGTGATTCCTCCATGATCCTCCTCTTCATGCTCCTCCTCGCCATCCCCCACATTCCTGCCGCCGCCTTCAACATCCTCCTCAGTGTCATCGTCCTCCAACTCCTCTTCAATGGTGGGGATATTTTGTTGATGGTAAAATCGGCCTTGGTTTTGGTTCAAGAGCTCGTGAAGTTGCTCATCGGTCATCGCATCTATACGATCATAGTCGGTCATCCAATCATTGTGTGATTGGGACGAAGATGTTGTCCCTACTTGTTGTTTACCTTTCGACCGCCCCGAAGGATCACCTCCCGCAATCTCCTTTGATCGATTGCGTTGGAGATTACATATATCAACGGATTTCCTAGCTCGGTCCATTGTCTTAAAAATGTTACAAAAAATACAAATTACAAATTACAATGTCAAGATTACAAATTACAAATTACAAATTTCAAATATTTAAATTTAACAAGAATTAAAAATGTGACTAACTACTTCAATGCAAGTAGTATTAAATAAAGTATAGAACTATTAAAATTTAACAACAATTACAATTTAACAAAAAATAAAATTTGAAGAACTATTTAAATATTTAAATCACTTAATTGCAACTACTATAAAATAAAATGTACCAACAATTAAAGAGTGACTAACTACTTTTTTTTGGAAGAATTCGGCTTTATATTGATAACAGATAATTCAAAGTATGGGTCAAAAGACAAAAAGAAACCTGACAACCGCTATCTCGGGAACCAGACTCGGAATTAATCACCTCCAATGAAGCAATATAATTAGCTGATCCAAAAATGAGAAACTTTAAGCCATAAACGGTCACCATATTCCTCTCATCCCCCACATCCAAAATCAACGTCTTACAAACAGGAACACAAAATAAAAGGCAAACCGCAAAGCAGAAATAACAAAACGAAGCTTTCGTGGACAGCGCCTTTGACAGACCACGCCGAATCTCCAACGCTCCTCCTTCCGCCGCTGACCTCCTCGACCGAAACAAAACTCCAACCAAAGTGAAACCCCGAAGAGCTTGATAGAAAACCCGGACTCCAAACACAGCCACCGACGACGGCCTAGACCTCCTCGGCAGCTGGCGGCGGACAAAGACTAGGCGTTACCGGAAGGTAACCCTAGAGAGAGAGTGACTAATTACTTAAATAGTTAAATGCAAGTAGTATTAAATAAAGTGTAGAACTATTAAAATTTAACAACTACAATTTAACAAAAAAATAAAATTTGAAGAACTAGTTAAATACTTAAATCACTCAATATGAAATTAATTGTAAGAATGTAAAAATTTATAATGCAACTACTAACAACTACGAAAATATATTAACTACAATTTGTAATATTAACAACTACAATTAAAAATTGTGACTACTACTAACAACATGTTACTAAATGCAACTACTATACTAACTACAATTTGTAATATTAGCAACTAAATAAATTTCGACTATTAATGATTATGGTATATATATATAGTGTATATATATATTATATTTAATATATTTCGGACTATTATATTAAATTATATATATTCTTTATATTTCGTGTATATAAATATATATATATATATATATGTGTGTGTGTGTGTGTGTGTGTGTGTGTATGTATGTATATATATTAATGTATAACGATTACCTATATATTGTTTAATAGGTATATATATGTGTATATATTAAATTATATAAATATATGTTTCGTATATATATAAATATTAATGTATAACAATTACTTCATTATACAATGAAAAGTAATTAACAAAAATGTAGGAAGTAGGAACTAGTTAACTACAACAATGTAGGAACTAGTAAACTACAAATGTATATAATTAAATATATACTCCCTCCGTCCCAAAATGAACTTCACAGTCACTATTCACATGGTCAACTTAAATTACTCTTAATCTTATGTTTTTTATATCAATTTTTTATCAAATTTGTATTTTTTTATCAGCCTTTGTAACGGTTTTAATGTAGTTTCTCAATATGTAAATTTTATTTACTAAAAGTAATCTGAACATGAACAGGGATCGAGTTGCTTTATCGTCGGTCAAGCATCGTAATCTGAAATGAGAAGTTCATTTTGGGACGGAGGTAGTATATGTAGGAAGTAGGAACTAGCTAACTACAACAATGTAGGAACTAGTTAACTACAAATGTATGTAATTAAATATATATGTTAAATATGAAAGTGTAGGAGTATACAAATACAATTGTAATATAATATATGATGGAGTATATGGCCCGGGAACACCCGGCCCACAGACTCCTACTACACCAATGAAGGCCCAACAGGCCCAGGAGGCCCACCAGGCCCAAATCACGGCGCCCAGAGTACCAAGCAGCCCGCAATACGCACCAGGGGTGCCCTCGCCCCCCTGGCCGAAGGCTCTAAACTCTCACAGAATGGGTTTTACAGGCAAACTAAGAAACTGGGAGAAAACGGCGAAAACAGTAGCCCTCGGCACCTGGAGCCCTCGGCACTCAGGGGTCCTCGGCACTAAGAGCCCTCGGCTAGTCCTCTGCAGCCGAGGGCACCTCTACCGACATGATATCCGCCTCACATGCGTACAGATCACCCTACCCTGTACAGACGTCCCATCCAACAGCCGCATTAAATGCGGCCACATGCGACTGCCAACGCCAACCAGTTGAGGTGACCCCTCGACCAATAGGCGCTTGACACGTGTCCCTGCCCGGCATTTATTGCTACTATAAATAGCACCCCCATTTCCCCATTTGTAACCACGCTGAAAACGCTCCACATTTATAATACGCTCTCTCTCTCTCTCTACATTTACCTGCTCTGACTTCTCTCTAAGTTATTCCCAGCAATAACCCTTCGGATATATACCCCCGGGTAGACTATTCATCATTTGGTGCTCTCGTTGAGAGGTCGAACAATCGAGTAAGAAACCTTCCCCCTTCGCCAAACACTAGCCCTCTACCAAAATGGTGAGAACTACCCGTGCCAACTCCAAAAACGTAGAAGACAAGAACCTGGCCCTCGGCGACGTCAACGCCCCCGAAGCCTCTCACAGGGCTCCCGAGGGCGGTGTCATCGCTGGGCTGGAACAGGCGGCTGTCGACCTACGCCTTCAGATCCAACAGAATGCCCCAGATGCCCGCCTCGGCATCGAGGCCAAGAAGAAAAACCGGAGCGATGACCAAGTCAGCCCTCCGGTTCTCACCATCGACGTGCAATCGGCGCTCTCCGCCTTCATCCAAACGCTCACTCAGAACCCGGGTGCCTTCGGCACCCTGGCTCCGGCTCAACCCCAGGTTGGGGAGAACATCATACTTCCCCCTCTGCCACACCCCTTCGGCAACCCCCTCCCTCGGGTTAGGAATGACGAAGGGGTAGCGGCCCAAGATACGTCCTCCCAGGAAGTTCAGTCCCGGGACCGCCACCATGACGACAGAGAAAGGCCCCGCACTTCCACCCTCAACCGGCTCGGAGGAGGGCCAGACCGTCGAGGGGTCCAAGACCGCCTCGGAGGGAAAGCACTCCAAAGGCCCCAGGAAAAGCGGAGGGTCTGTCTCGAGGGCAGACGAGGAGCGTCCCCCTCAGGACAAAGGCAAGGCACCCCTTCATGCCAATGATGCTCGCCACCAGATCAACCAGGCCCACTCGGCCCGGGTTCATTCGCAGGGGGCGGAGACCCTCCCGAAGGATCCCCGGGACGAGATTATTACGGCCCTCCAACACCGGCTTGACGAAATGGACTCCAACAAAGCCCACGCCACCACCTCCACCCCTCACTCAGACCTCAAATACGAGGCCATGATGGCCAAAATGGAGGAATTACAGAAGAAGGTGGCCGAGGGCTCCGGAGAACCCGTCATCCAGCTCCGGACTCGAACGCCATTTACCCCAAGGGTATTGGCGGCCCGGATCCCGGAAAAATACCGAGGGCAACACATACAGCCCTACAACGGGAAAACGGACCCCCAGGAACACTACAGCAAATACCAGAACAGCATGATGATGGTAGGGGCGTCAGACGAATATTTGTGTCGTTGGTTCCTCTCCACCTTAGACGGGCCGGCATACGAATGGTTCAACAGGCTGCCCGAGGGCTGCATTGATTCATGGCAAGAACTCGCCCAGCGATTCTTGACACAATTTGCCGGGAGGCGTCGCACAAGGAAGCACTTCTCCCACCTCCTAACAATACGCCAAAAGAGGGATGAGACCCTTCGGGACTTCCTGGAGCGCTGGAGGACGGAAGCCGACAAAGTCGACGGTGCTCATGACGGGACCCTCCTGGCCCTCCTACAAACCGTCCTCCGCACCGGCAACTTTTCAAGGAGCCTCATCATTGAACCCCCCCGCGACTACATAAGGGCTTTGCAGCGGGGGGACCGATATGCTGAGGCCGAGGAGGTGGAAAAATATCACCAGCATCCGGACCAGCAGCCCCCGAGGGCTGACAACAAAAACAACTGAGGGCCGGGGGCTCCTCCGAATCACCCCAAACCTTCAGGACCCTCTGATGACCGCCCTCGGCAAGGCCAAGCCAAGCCCGGGGGAGGTTATAAGAGCAGCCCTAAGACTTGGGCACAGCCCATTCTCCTGGACCGCCCCCGGACGCCATTGACGCACCCCGTCAGCATCATCCTTGATTTTGCCGAGGAGAGGGGCCTCGTTGAGCGCGATTCCCGCGCACCCCCGGAGGTACATGCTATCAACCCTCAGTTCCAATATTGTCGCTTCCATCGGCACCAGGGGCACAGAACCGATGACTGCGATCAGCTAAAGACAGCCATCGAGAGGTTGATACAAGCGGGGCACCTGTCCCAATTCGTTCAGAGCCCTCGGCAGGAGGGGCCTTCTCATCAGGGACCTCCCCGAGGGCACCACACGAAGGTAAACGTTTGGGTAAACCCGAACACCATCCCCCTCGGCAAGAAGAGGGAGATCGGAAACTTGGAAGAAGAAGAGGAGGAGTACCCCCACTACCAGGAGAAAAAACGCCACATCCTCATGATCACCAGTGGCAATACAGGGGGCGATTCCACCAGCCAGCGAAAGAAGTGGGCTCAATCGCTTTACGTGGGGGAAGTCACTCATATGCCCCCGGTAAAGCGACTGAGGGAGGAACCCATCACCTTCACCAACGCAGATCTCCCTCCTACTTCTTCTCCTCACAGGGATGCCTTGGTGATTCGGACTGAAATAAGCGACACCATCATTCACCGAACTTACATTGACACGGGCAGCTCCGTCAATGTAATGTACCTCAGCACCTTCAGAGAGCTCCATCTGGAGAGGGGGTCTCTTCGGCCCATTAAGACCCCTCTTGCCGGCTTCACCGGCGACACTATTGATTCCGAGGGGGTAATAACCCTCCCGGTGATTTTCAGCGACGGGCTCCATAGGGCCCAGCTCGAAGTGGAGTTCGTCGTCGTTAACATCGACTGTGCCCACAACATTATCCTCGGCCGGCCAGCCCTGGAGGACCTCGAGGCCATCATCTCCATGAGGCACCTCTGCCTCAAGTTCCCCGCCGAGGGGGGCATTGGCTACTCCCGGGGGAATCAGAAAATCGCCCGCGCCTGCTATCTTCAAGTCACTAAGAAGGTAAGTAAGACGGAATTCCTTGTTGACACCATCACCGGAACCATCGACCAAGAAGAAAAAAGGCCGAGGGCTGAACCGGCCGAGGACGTAGAAGACTTTGCGCTCGATCCGGCCCAGCCGGAGAGAGTCGTGAAGATTGGAGCCCAGCTCCCTGAAGATCTGAAGACCGGTATCACCGACACCCTCCGCGCCTACTCCACCGTCTTTGCATGGGGCCGGAGGACATGCCGGGAATTAGCCGAAGGGTCATCACCCACCGCCTCTCGGTGGACCCCTCGGCAAAAGCAGTGCAACAACGAAGAAGACCCCTCTCCGCCGAGAGGAGGGAATTTGTGAAGAAGGAGGTCGCCATGCTCCTCTCCATTAGGCACATCAAGGAGGTGAAATATCCCTCATGGCTAGCAAATATAGTCCTCGCACAGAAGCCCCCTACCTTCCGCATGTGCGTGGACTACACTGATCTCAACAAAGCATGCCCTATGGATCCGTTCCCTCTACCAAATATTGATCAACTGGTGGATGAGACCGCAGGGTGTGAGATC